TTCCAACAATTGTTGAAAACAACAACTGGCTTGAATTTGCCTACCCTATTCCCTTGACACAACATCAAAAGCTTTACATTCGTTCCAGCTACAAAGTCATTGCTAAGAATGCTTTATTAAAGGCTAACCCAAATCATTGCAAGTATTCCATTATCAGCGGAACCCCTGGAATTGGAAAATTTATGTTTCTCTTTTATATCCTTTGGCAATTGGTGAAGGAAGGAAAGTATGTGTTATTTGTTACCAGAGAACCTGCTATATACTTTGATGGAAATTCAACATTTGAATATCCTCAATATCCTTTGTCTTCAGATCATCAATTCTGGACATTTGACTTATGGTGCCTTGTTGATTCAAAAGATCCAACTAACATTCCTGGATTTCCTGTTGACGCCTGTTCTGTCATTTTGTCAACTACCCCTCGAAGTGATTTTATTAGTAGATTCAGCAAGTTGGTTCCAGCTCCTCCTATCTTTTATATGCCTTTATGGACTAGGGAATAATTGGAAGTTGTTACACCCTTTACTCAAATGTAGCTAATATTTGGATGAATCACTTTGAACTTTAGGTGGTGTTCCTCGTCTTGTGCTGGAACAAACTGAACAAGATCCAACATCAATTCTGATTTCAGCTTGTAAACAATGTGAACTGGAGGACTGTATCAAGTTGGTTTCAATTCATTCTAAATCACACCCAAAACAAAGATTATTCAAAAACTTGTTCATCTTAAGTCAAGTCCACCTTATAAAGATGCAGAGTCTTCTTGGTTCTTGTGCTGGAAATCCTCTTGTAGCAGCCCTTTGTGGATACATCTTTGAACCCCATGCCATTGATTTATTGGAATAAGGTGGTACCTTCCAATGTCGAGAACTTGTCTCTGGTAGGAAAAGTCTCAAGTCTGGTTCTTTGACCTCAAGATTCCAAAATCAAGACTCCCTCCACAAGTTGTTGACCGTGTTGAAGAAAACCAAACTCACAATCAATTGTACATTCCCAAGACTAAAAATTATGCTGCCATTGATGCTTAGATGCCAAATTTTGGTGGTTTTCAAATGACTGTTGGGAAAAATCATGACATCAAGGGTGGAACATCATCTGATTTGGAGAAACTAGGTCCTCATGGTAACAAACTATACTTTCTACTCCCACCTCTTCACTTTGAGTCATTCACTAAGAAAACACCACAAACAATCAATCAGTTTGGAATTCTTATTCCCTATCCTGAAAAAGTTCAATAAGTTGTTATATTGACTGGATAAACATCATTAATTTGCTACATATTTTATTTCAGAATTTAACTCTTTACATGATATGCATTGTCATATTATATATAAATATTCTTTAAAAATCTGTTAGTTACAAATAATTTGAGTATGAGTTATGTTTGAGTAGTTTATCAAATTATTAATAGCATACTTAACCCAGTATTGTCATAGAATTTTTCACTAATATTTTTGAATTAGGGTAATATTATATACAGAAAGGTTCTTTTTATGAAATATACAGAACCTATGTGACAAATAAGGATTAATTCTTAGAGTTGGTAAACACTGTGTAATTCCTGCCACCCCCAGCCCACAAATTTAATCATCACGTCTGTGATAAATGTCACATTGGTTTTACAAAAATTTTGAGCTACAATTTAGTTTCCTTTTTTATAGAATGAATTGCTATTTTTGGAGGGTTCTGTATATTTCATAAAAAGAACCTTTCTGTATATAATATTTTCCTTTGAATTATGGTGCAAGTCACCTAGTCCCGCAACTTACTGCGCCTTGTGGCCAATTTTGGGAAAATATCAAATCTCAGAATTGTAAGTTATGTTCAAAAATGCAATAATTTTTTGTCACGTGACCTTTAATGGTGATATGAATTAAAAATTATATATATTAATATATTAATATTAACGTTTTCCATACAACAGAATTTGAAGGAAGAATTGAATACAAGATTATCAATAAACAATTTTTATGCTTCTAAATAAATAGAATCTTGTGCTTTTGTTTGTTTAAATTCAATTTTTTACCTTGTCAATAGCTTGTTTTGTTATAGCGCAATAGCTTCCCACAGAGACCCATACTTTTTGACTTTAAAGGCCTAATTATTTATGAAAACAATTCTATTAAGATCATTTTAGCATCATAAGATAGAGTACATTGAGAACTCACAGAAAATATATGGTTTGTTTGGTTTCTTGGAGGTGGAAGAAATTAAAGGCAAAAACAATTTTATAAGTTATTTATGACTATTTTATATTAGCATTAAATTTTTTTTTTTTTAATTAGATCATTATACTAATTTTATTGAATTATCTAATTTAGATAGAATACATTGAAGAAGTAATTAAAAGCAATAATTCAATGTAATTTTATTTTTATTTTCTTTTTACATTATTATACCAATATTCCCTAACTTTAGTAGATGACCATGAATTATTTATTTTAAATAGATTTTCAAATAATCTTTTTGCTACTTCCTTTGGTAA